ATACACCAATAACCCAGGTATCACATGGTTATTCCATAAAAAAAGATTAAATAAAAAAAATATAGAAATTTCAAAGAGCAATACTATTGCATAGCGGAAGCAAATTTATGAATCCCACCGGTGGGTTTAATATTCTAACCCACCGGTGGGTTTAATATTCTAACCCACCGGTAGGGAAGAATTTGTGTGAACGTTCCCAAGATTTAACCTGCTCTTGATACCATGCTAAATTATTTATGAGAGAATGAGTTGAATTGTATTGATGATCTTGGCTAATATTTATAGCCTACAAAAGATAACCTACACAATATAAAACTCTATCATATAAACTTCCATAAACCTATCTTAGAATATCACTAAGATATTATATTATCCTAATATTTATAGCCTACAAAAGATAACCTACACAATTTAACACCTCCATAAAAAAAATAAAAAAATAAAAATTTGATTTTAACACCATAAAAATCTTTGAAATTTTGATTTTACCACCACTTAACAGATTCCGTCCAAAAATCCGTTAAGTGGGGTCCACACTGCCACGTATTATAATACTATTAGTTTTTAAAAAAGATTAAAAAAAAAGAAAAAGAAAAAACTTACAGCCACCCAAACACCACCACCACCAACACCGCATCCCCACCCCACACGCACGGCTTCAAGCCGCCGGTAGCGTTACCCAACCCCTTCCCAGACCACCGGAAACCACTCTCCTTCCAAGCCCCGACCACCGGAACCCTTTCCTCTCTCACTCGCACCCATAAACCCGTCCAAAACGAAACCCTAAATTCTAAAAACGACCATAATTTCAGCCACTAATGGCCGAAACTGGCCGATTTTGGGGATGATTATCCTAAATCGGCCATTATTGGACGGAATCGTGGTTGTTTTTAGGGAAAAGGGGGCTGCATTCTGGTGGGGCTGGTTTATCGTGCGGTGGTTTTTGGCTACGGGAAAGGGAAAGGGAGGGGTTGGGTCACGGTGGGGCTGGGTTAAGCAGGGAGAGGTTTTGGTGCCAACGATGGGGCGGCGTCCGGCGGTTGTGCTGGGTCAGGGCGGAATCAGGGGATTGGTGGTGGCGTAGGGGTGCTGTGTAATTTTCGAGATTTTTTAAATTTTTTTTCTTTTTTGTTTTTTTTAAAATTTTATTGACTAACCACAAAGCGACACGTGAAAGTATGGACCCCACTTAATGGATTCTTGGACGGAATCTGTTAAGTGGTGGTAAAATCAAATTTTCGAAGATTTTTGTGGTGTTAAAATAATTTTTTTTTTTATGGAGTTGTTAAAAACCATTTTCGTGTTTTTTCCAGGTGTTAAAATCTAAAATAACCTAAGATCTATATAGAAAATATATCACAATAATATATTTTCCTATATTCCTAACAAAATAAAAGAACATAAGCACCGCAACGCAGCACGCATAAGGAGGATGCGCACCAAACAACCGAACAGGAATTAGGAATTGGAAACCCTAATTTCGACCCTAAAAAATAATCAATTTGTGACATTGATTGAACAAAGAAAACAGAAAATTGAAGCCCTAATCTCACTCAAGAATTGCGGAAAATAAGAAAATTTGACGAAGAACAAACCAAGATAGAAAAAAAATCTCTAGAATTTAGAGTGGCTATGATACCATGTTAAAGTGGAGAAAACAGTTTAGTCTTTGTATTGGTAATAATCACATATATATAATGTATATGCAATACAAAACAACCTAAAACTCCTAATAAGATCAACATAGCAAATATACAATATTAACATATATAAACCAAACCGACTCTAATATATATATATATATATATATATATATATATATATATATATATATATATATATAAGAACATAACTTATAAATGAACATTATATATGAATAAAATAACAGTACCTATAAATAGAAGAAGATTACATATAAATATGGGTACATAACCTATAAATAAAAAGATCGTACTTTAATTATATAATATACATTAATTGTTTTGGTTTTCATGTATTCCTTAATTTTCTCCTTAATTCCTATGATTTTCTATCAAAAGTGACAATCAAATAGGGACGAAGGGAGTATATAAATAAAAGAACATTAATTTTTCTTAACGTTATTTTATTTATATGTAAATGTACTTCCGGGTGTACTATGTGCATGGTACAACTCCCTCTACCACACTATTTTCATTAGTTATGGCCTTATGGGCTTGTGGTTTCTTAGTTTTATTGATATATATTGAAGTTTGATTGGGTGGCAGTTATTAGAAGATCTACCTAATAAAAAAAAAAACAAATTTATTGTTTCAAAAATTTATGTCTACGGTTTGAACTGATGATTTAAGTCATAATATACCATATTTCAGTTCAATAGTCGATGATTGTTTAACATCTTAGTTTTTGTTTTGTTTTGTTTTTTTGTTTTTTTGTTTTTTTTTTTAGCATCTTAGGCAGAATTTTAATTTGTTCATAAGGTGATAAAATGTAGAATTGAAAATTTTCCCAGCGGATTTAAAAAGAATGTAGTGCTATTGTCATTACAAATGGAAGGCTAATACTTTTTTTCCTCCTCTAGTGTAAAACACATACTTCGTATTACAATTAGGATGGATATTTATCCTTTTGTGGTCTCATCAAAATCCATTACAGTTTTTTTTTTTTTATTTTATTATTATTATTTCCTTCTTTTCACATTTAGGAGCCGTTTGGTTGGGGGTATTAAGGAAAGGGAATGGGAATCAACTGCCCCGATTCGCTTTATTGTTGTTTGTTAAGCACTTTTAATCATTCCCTTTACCTTCTCCATTACCCCAAATCCTTCCAACTTCATTCCCCACCCCCTCTAGACTTTTCCATTCCCTTTCCCTGCCCACCTTCACACTTTCAATACCATCGGAAAACCAGCCCAGACCACCGCCACCCCTACCCCTACCACCGGCGACCTTCCCCCAACCACCGTCGACCCTCCCCCGAAAAAACCACCCCTAGCCCCGAAAAACCCTACCCCCGATCTCCCTCGACCCCGAAAACCGCCGCCCAGCCCATCGCCGTCGCATCCTCCACCACATCCACCGACTGTATTGTGTGAGGGAGATCTAGATGGTGTTGGTTTTTGGATACCACTTGTCAAATTGTTTCGGATTTGAATCTTACTGATAGTGTGTATATACAAGGGACGCACAATTTTTTCATCCTCCCTAATGTAAAACTCAACTGTGTTGAAGCTTCTGGATGTGAGATTGCTATCAATATTACTGGTAATCTTAGTTATTTGATAAGATGATTGGAGAAGATGATAAAATCAAAAGTATAACATGTTATGATGTGAGAATTTCATAACTAATTCCACGATTATTGCTCGTACTTTTGATTTAGGGATTTCTAGAGGGGGCGAGGGGCGGGGGAGGTGCGGGGAGTTGTGGAGGAGGTGCGGCGAGTGGTGGAGTGGCTGGGTGGTGGCTGGAAATGGCCGAAAGTGAAGCAATGTGGTGGTGGTGTAGTGGTTGGACGGGTGGTCTTCCATACATTCCTTTCCTTTGTTATTCAAAACAAACAACACCGCAAAATTGGGGGACTTTCATTCCATTCCTTGTCTTTCCCTTTGTTCATTCCATTCCGATTCCCCCGGCGAACCAAACGACCCCTTAATACTTTTTAATAAAGGAAAAATTGCTGGGAATAATCCCAACTTTGGGGCGTCCGCAAAAATTATTCCCACCTTTGCGATATTTTTAAATAATCCGACCTTTATACCTAATCCACTCAAAATAGTCCCAACCGGTCATGTAACCTATTATAACAAGTAACATGACACGTGGCGGCCCATTATTGGTTAAAAAAAACCTAAAATAAAATAAATTTTTTAGAAAAAAATCAGATTTTTTTTAAAGAAAAAAAAAATTAAAAACCACCCACCACCCACTGCACCACCCACCTACTGTCGCCTGAGCCCATCACCTGCCCAGCGGCTCTGGCTACCCCGCCCCCAACCACACCTCCGGTAGCGCCAGAGCCCCTCCCCCTCCCTTGAAGCACCAACTCCCTCCCACATGATGAACACCTAGGCCGTTTTTAGAACAGCCCAAGCAAAGCTCCGGCGAGCCACAAAACCATCCCACAAGCATTTTTCTGCCCTGATCCCAGCCCCCACTCCTTACCCGATCCCTTTTTCGACTACCTCCCCTTCCCCAAGACCCAATTTCGTCTCCTATCCCCTTCAAACACCTCAATCTCGGCCCTTCTACCCTTCCCACACCTTGATTTCAATCATGGTTATGGTGGTTTAGTAGCGACGGAAAGGGGTAGGGGATGGTCAGAGAACGGCGCGGCGATTTGGGGTTTGGTTGCAGTTGGGCTGGGCTCGTGGGCTAGTGGTGGTGGCGGCGAAGTGGTTGGGGTTGCTGGTTGAATTTTTATTTTTTTAAAGTTAATTAATGTTAGAGTATATATTAAAACAAAATTAAAATTAAAACTTATTTTTTTACCAATCACTTGATGACACGTGTAAATTAAATTTAATAATAAAAAAAAACCTATTCAACCAGTTACAAGTCACTTGGGACTATTTTTAGCGAGTTGGGTACAAAGGTCGGATTATTCAAAAATATCCCAAAGTGGGATTAATTTTCGCGGACGCCCCAAAGGTGGGATTATTCCCAGCAATTTTTCCTTTAATAAATTGTTAATCTCATTATTATTCTTTTACAATTTTTAAAAGCCAATTCAAATCTGTATTTTTGTGTATATAATTCTTGACCGACTGAATTGATAGGGTTTCAGCCCAAAAAAACAAAACAACTAATTTGCACACGCCTATATAATTTTTTCTCAACCATCAAATTGATTCATTGACCGGTGATTTGATAAGGAATATACATCAATACTACCAGCAAAGGCTGACTTTAACAGGCTTATTACTTCAGACTTTTAAAGCCAAAAAGTTTGACCAAATCATCCCTAACTAATTTTACATTTCCAAAAAAAAAAAAAAAAAAAAAAAAAAAAAAAAAAAAAAATATTATATGATGAACTAATTTAATAAAAACATTTTATTTCTAAACATCACAGTTCAATATATATATTTTTTTTCAGCTAATCATGCTGCCCATCTTACTTGTGCTACTATCTTCACTTGTTACTTCAAATTCTTTTCCATTAGGTATAAACTTCAATGAATCCAGCTGCACAAACTCATCAACTAATTCTATTAGCAGTTCGTATGAAACCAATCTCAACCAACTCCTCACCTCTTTAGTCTCCCAAATTTCGACCGCCAAAAACGGTTTTCTAACGCACAAGCAAGGTCTACGACTAAAAGATTCCGCATATGGCCTTGCGTTGTGCCGTGGAGACTCGAACCCCGACGAATGTCATGGTTGTATTCAGATGGCTACCAAGCAAATCACAAGTTTTTGTCCAAACGCAACGCAAGCGATATTGTGGAAGGAACAATGCATGCTTCGATATTCTAATCAGTCCTTTTTCTCTTCACTACAAGAGCAACCCTCCACAACATTACACAACATTAACAATGTAACAAATAATATTTCCGCTTGGTATAATGTACTCCAAGAATCATTGAATAATGTAACATCTATGGCTGCTTCCAACGAGTCATCCAATAAGTATGCCACTACGTCAGCATGGTTTTCGCCCATGAATGTGTATTTGTACACTTTAGCTCAGTGCACTCCTGACTTAACAACAGCGAATTGCAGCAATTGCTTTAATGCAGCTAGAGCTGAGATTATTAACAATTTCATATACCGTGGAAGAGTCGTGTTAACTCCTAGTTGTACAATCAGGTACGAGCTTTATCAGTTTTTTCAGTTATCGGATTCTACTTTGAACTTAGATCCGCCTCCTACAGATACTGCTAAAACAAATCGAGGTATGTAATTGTATATTCCTTGTTCCCGAAATCCACTTAATTTTTGTTGGAAATCCGTTAACATGAATTAAACTTAAGGTTTTCCCACTTAATTACCATGTCTTATTTGTAGGAGAAAAAGCATCAGCAACGAAAAATGCCGTCGCAATCACTGTGCCATTAATAGCATTAGGACTGCTACTTACTGGCGTTTTTCTCTACATAAAGAAAAGAAAGAAGTACTCTTCTCTAGATGTTAAGAAAGGTAATGATCTAACTTTAATGGAACAACTCAACCAAAATTTAAAAGGCCTAAGCCTGTTGGGCGTGAAGTGTGGTTGCAGCATGACCCTCTGATGGTTGAAGCCCCAATCATAATTCATAATTATTTAAGCTTATGTATTGTATTTGTATATTATGGTGTTATATATAGTGCTTGGTGATTTGACTACTGTGGAGTCTTTGATGTACGAACTGAAGACGCTTGAAGCTGCCACTAACAACTTTTCGGAAAATCAAATTCTTGGTAAAGGAGGATTCGGAAGTGTTTATAAGGTAAACAAATACTTATAATAATCTCAAAAGACTTCTTCTATCATAGACAAATCCTTATAATTATACTTGTATATGCCTAAAACAGAAATTAAAAAACAATAATGAATTCTAATTGTGCTTCATAATTGACTTCCACCGTATCATATGTTAGGGAACTCTCGCAAATGGACAAGAAATAGCAGTTAAAAGGCTATCGAAGATTTCAGGCCAAGGAGTGGAGGAATTTAAGAACGAGGTTGTATTAATAGCCAATCTTCAACACAGAAATCTGGTTAAGCTACTGGGATTTTGTTTAGCAGGAGAAGAGATGTTACTCATCTATGAATTTGTTCCTAATAAAAGCCTTAATTACTTTCTATTCGGTATGTTTTTATGTTTTGATTTTTTATTATTAATTAAACTTTAACACCTTAAGGATTATACATATTTCGTCCGATGTCCTTTTGAATTTGCCCTATAGAAATATTAAAATAGTGTAAGTTAGTAAAAGTATGTCAAGTGTTGAAAAACAGTACGTAACTCCACTTAGACAACAATTACTTGAGCAAAATTTTCACCACGTTATCTCGTGTGGTAATTACCACTCCGTCCGTTTTAAAATAAGTAACACATTTGAATTTTTGTTTGTTAATATTGAGTTTGTATGTATAAGGTTACAAATTAGTTCCATCCCATCTTTTGGGAACAAGTCGAGTTAAGGTCATTATCCTATTAGTTTCTCAAGTTGGGTCAGTTTTTAATAGCTCAAGTTACTGCTATTAGGTCCTAGTTAGTAACATTATCTCTAATAATGTAATATACCTTGTAGATGCACAAAAGCAAGGAGAATTGAAGTGGTCTACACGCTATGATATTATAAAAGGTATTGCTAGGGGACTACTTTACCTACATGAAGACTCGCGACCAAGAATCATTCACCGTGACCTTAAATCCGGAAATATTTTGCTTGATGCATATATGAACCCAAAAATTGCCGATTTTGGTTTGGCAAGAATGTTCAAGGTTGAGCAAACAATGGATGATACCAGCAGAGTTGTGGGAACATAGTAAGATATTTTTTCTCCTTGTTCTTGCATATTTTATGCGTGCATGCATTGGGGTTGTTGTACACATATATACAGAATAGGTTAGATGGTTGTCAAGCGTGTAAACAAGAGTAGTAGGTATACAAAATTATTGGTTGCGTGCATCCATTATGTTTTAATTAACACAAGAAAATAGAATACTCGTATTATTTTTAGCTTAAATTTGGTCCATATTTTCATTGCGTATTATTGAGCAAATTAAAAGAAATACAAATTTTATATTGGTTGTTCCAAAATTTAAGTGCACAGTTTTATATAAATCTATTTTTTGGTAAACTTTGTATGTAAGAATAGTAAGGGTGTGCGACTTTTCTGGTACTATTTATTTCAACACGTCATGCTAGAAGAACCGAAAGACACACATCTTAACGTGTTTTAATGTTACTTTGACATTGTATGCATTTCCTTGTAGTGGCTACATGGCTCCTGAATATGCAATGCATGGACGATTTTCTGTAAAATCAGATGTATATAGTTTTGGCGTGGTAGTTTTGGAGATTGTTAGTGGCAAGAAGATTAGCGCAAAATTCCACCCATCCGGAGTTGGAGACCTCTTGTCCAATGTAAGTATAGAGAAAACGATATTTATAAAGTACATAATATATATTTCAATTATTCATTTTAAAACAAAAGAAACAAGCTAATTTACTTCAATATGGCTTTGATTTAATTCTCTTAGGCTTGGAGAAGTTTGACAGAAGAAAAACCATTGGAATATCTGGACCCAACCTTACACAATTCTTATTCAAGTGACGAAGTCTTGAGATGCATTCATTTAGGCCTATTATGCGTACAGGAGAATGCGAATTATAGACCGACTATGTCAAGTGTTGTTCTTACGCTCAGCACTGATTCAACGACAACCGGAACATTGCCAACACCTCAGTTTCCTAGAACCTTTGATAATAGCAGTAGTACTGAATCATCTTTTATGTCTAGGTTAAGCATACACTCAACGACAACGGAAAGCGAATTAAAGGCATCGTCTAAAAATCAAATCACGATTAGTGAGATGAATCCCAAGTGATTTACTCTGGTTTGACGACAGCATGTATTTAATTAGACACAATTATTGATCAGAGAGGTATCTTTGATATAATTAACACTGGTAGATGATTATGATATGATGAGCTTGTTTTGTTGTGTAATGTGAGACAAAGAAGATATATTAAAGCAACTTATTTTTGTCTTCATTTTCAAATACAACAGTTGGATTATGGTATAGTACACGTTGGAATTATATATAATGTGTTTTCAATGCTACAAAAGCATGAATTTGACCAAAGTGTCGATGATAATAATGAATTGCATGCTTTGGCATTGAAAGACTACACTGACTTGAAAACTTACGCTGACGTTTGAAATTTCATGATTGTTTTTTATACTCTCTATGTGTTTTAATAAGTATTACACTTTAACCGTTACCAAAAGAAATAATAAAATAGTATTAGTAGATTTGGGTAGGGATTATGAGAGGAGAAATATACTCCGTATAATATTAAAACTAGAATAGCTCCCGTGCGATGCACGGATATTATAAAAATAGTTTATAATTGTGAACATTTACAGTTAAATTATCACTCGAAATATGTAAAATCTTTATATGAGCATAAACCAAATTGCAAAAATTAAAATAATATAATCAAAAGAAAATTTACGTGTACAACAAAATTTAGTGGACTTTGTAATTAGAAGGAGTAATCACATAAATACATGGTTAATATTTGCTCTCTTAAGATTATCTATGTGTAACAATTTTTATTTTTATTTTTTTTTGAAGAGAATATAACTTAAGATAATGTATTGTTTAAAAGTATGTTGTAGTTGATATTAACTTTTTGTAAAAAAATAGTTGATATTAACTTTTCAAAATTACAAAATAAATAAATACTTAAAAATTAAAAAAGAAATGAAAATTGGAAGAAAAAAAAAACTTAGGCGGGAAAAAATTAAAGGAGAAGCTGACATGTGTACAATTTGAAAAAAGGAATGATGTCAGCGGTTATTATTTTAATATTAACTAGGTTAGATCTCGTATCATGCACGGTGATCTATATTTATAAACTAAATTAGCCCCGTTCGTGCGATGCACGACATAAAAAATTTCTTTGAAATAAATATATTTTATATATATACCTCAAATGAGAAAAATATATATATAAACATAATAATTAATTGCAATGGTATTTATATCTAAATAATTTTGAAGATAGTAAAAATTTAACAAAATTATACAATAAAGAGTACTCTTAAACCGGGAGTAATTATATTTGGAAGCCAGATAAATTTTTTTTATAAATCCATAATAATGTTAAAAAAAATATATAGAAAATAACATAATATAACAATTGTCCTTAAAAAAAATATACTTCGAATATATAATTTAATAATTTAAGAAGGTTTCAAAAAATAAGTAAAAATAAAAATAAGAATATGATGTCAGCAATTGATTTGGGAGGGAATTTTTACCACAACTTGACATTTGTACAATTTAAATAGAGGATGATGTCAACGGTTGTTACTTTAGTTATATTTACATATTATAGATGTATCTTTTTGCAAAAAAAAGAAAGTGTAACACTTAATAAAACACGGTGGAAGTAATCTATCACAAATACATACATTAGCGGGTCTATGGTTTTTTATCGGCTTCAGGTGTAGTATTTAGCCATGTATACTAACAGCCGTTTAAAATACACTAATGCATGAAAAATTTTGAATCTAGAGTAACTGCAAAGCAAGTAAATTTTTTTAGTTAATACGTTGTGCTTGGGAAAAAAAAAACAATCTATTGTATATACTACCTTTGTTTCTAATTAATTGCAACAAATAAATATTTAATTAAAAACTTCTGTAAATCAAACAAAGGCCCCAACTTGCCTCCACTTAATCTATTTTTGGGACCTGAGTTCTTTGAATTGCTTATTCAATGTGTGTCAAATTGAGAAATTGCATGTCTTAAATCTTTAGTATCCTCCATTCCTCCCTCTGATCTATATTATCATTTAGGAAATTTTGCAAAAAAACCACCTTTTATAAGTTTTTTTTGCAAGAAACCACCTTATAAATTTTTTTTTTGCAAAGACACACCTTAATCAAATTTTTTTTGCAAAACCATACCTTGATGCCGGAAAATAGAGTCAAACCCTATTTCCCGGCGTTGACTACGCCATCCGCTCCCATGAAACTGACAATGGAGGGGAGAAGGGTGGCTAGGGCTATAAAGGAAGGTTTAGGGTGGTGAACGTTGTTAAAGGGGTGTGTTTAGGGTGGTCAACGCCATAAGAGGGGGTGTGTTTATGGTGGTCAACGCCATGAAAGGGTGGTTTTGTGGGTAGGGCTTGGGAGGGAGGTGGTTTTGTGGGTGGGGCTGGGGAGAGAGATGGTTTCGTTGGTAGATTGGGGTAGTCAACGCCGGAAAATGGGGTCAAACCTCATTTTTCGACATCAAGGTATTGATTTGTAAAAGAAATTTTGATATGACGGACTGGCGAAAAAAAAATTGCTTATAAAAGGTGGTTTCTTGTAAAAAAATTGCTTATAAAAGGTGTTTTTTTGTAAAATTTTCTATCATTTATTAAATTAAAATCTGATATGATGGATGTGAGAAAGAACAAGGTAATGAATGCAAAGCAAGAATAACTAATACATATATTTACTTGGTTCGCCAATAGTGCGTTGGCTATATCCACGGACTGGCGAGAGAAAGCTTTATTGATCTTGAGGAATTCCAGATAACAGTTTTGATAAGTCAATTATCAATAGACTAAACTAGAAATAAACCTTAACTAGGCTTATATATAGCTTCCCTAAATAAGATAGATAAATGCATAAAAAAGACTCACAAAACCCTAAGGAGTCGTGTGGGCTCCACCGTATACAAACGGAGAGCTCTCGTTCACCATCGAGCAAGCTATCGCTCGAATTCCAGCCAAGCTATCGCTCATGGTCGAGCGAGCTATCGCTCGGACCCTAGCTCACCTTAGACCTTTGCGAGCTACCAAGGGAGCGACCGAGCGAGCTATCGCTCGGCCTATTCAAACCAATCTATCTATGAGAGCTATAACTCACTCGTATAGGAGATATAGCTCCAATTTCATCATAACTCCATATGTTTCCGAAACTACCGAGCTTCCTCTCGAGCTATAGCTCCCTGCTCCTAAACCAGATTCAAGGCATTATTTCAACAAATCTCCACTTTGACTTGAATCCTCTCACAAAACCTGATTACCAAACGCATTGATCACAATTAAAGCTGTCAAAAGCTAACCCGACCCAAAATACCGACCTGAACCCGATTATTAACCAACCTAACAGAACCCGATAAAATGGTGACCCTAACCTTGACCTGACCTAAACCAACCCAAGACCCGAATTGACCTGAGTATGTGAGACCCGAACCCGAACATGAACCGACCTGGAGATGACCTAACCCGAATGTAACCCGTAATATTGACCTAAACCGAACCCGACTTGAATTGAAATTGACCCAAACCTTTTTTAACCCATCAAACCCCGAATTTAACCCGACCTATTACTAACCCGACCCGTTTCTAACCCGCCCCAATTTAACCCGACCTGTTACAAATCCGACCTGAAATCAACCCGACTTGTTATTGATCTGACCCAAATTCAACCCGACTCGTTATTGACCTGACCAAATTTTACCCGACCCAAAAATTCAACCCGATCTGTTACTAACCCGACTCAAAATCAACACGGCTTGTTATTGACCTGACCTAAACTCAACCCAAATTGTTCCTGACCCAATTTCAAATCACTTAAATTCAATTTAGACCACCTTATTATTGTGCTAAAGCAAAAGATATAGATATATCATGATGTTTTTTCTTAGGACATTCTCTTTTCCAATTCCCCTTCAATCTCCTTACAATAATTACAGACATAAGTTTGCTTAGGAGCTCCTTTGAAACTTTTGGAGTTCTTAGCCTTCTTCTTCCCAGAATTTATGGTAGAAGGATATAATCGGTCGTTGGACAATCACCCTAAAACCAAACAATATTTCTACCTAAACTAACCTAAGACAAGTCTAGGGTAAGTAGAGGATCGTATCCACAGGGAATGGGTAAGGACACCGAGAGTATGAAAAGGTTGCAATCTAGTTCGGTCACAAATTGGGGGTTTTGATTAGACAACTACTATGGAGACAAACACTAGGGGAAATGGGAATTGACTCAAACCAAACCAATGGATCAAATCAATAGGCAAGCATGAACACAAATTGGGTGATAGAGAGGGTACTCAACATTGCCTTCTTTCGAAGCCACAACACTAAGCATTCCTAAACCAAACTCGACTAACAAGATAGGTCAACCAAGTCTTAATAACGGGAAGTAGACTACTAGCTCGGGTTTGTCTTTCGATCAGTCCAAGAAAGCATTAAGGCACAAATAATTGGGATTTCTCACCTAATTGTCGCAACTAAGACTACTACATCATTCAAACAAGGAACCATAATCAAGAGGAATTTAGCATAATCATATAAGAGTGGGCTCACAACTAGACTCCATCTTTCAATGCTAGCATAGAAGTGAATACATGAGCAATAAGTGGCCAACCAATTACACATGCAATTAACCAATCCCTTAACAATAAATCATCAACCCAAAATGAATAAGCAAGCACAACATCAATCAACCCATGGCTTGGTTGGGTCTTCACCCAACCCCTAGCTAATTAACTACTCACTAAACATGGTGAAGGACATCATAACAACAAGTTCTAATTCTAGCATTAAGTTAACAAGTTGAGAGAAGTAGTAGGAATGAGGTAGATTGGACATGCAACAACAATTAAACAAGATCAAGAGAGAAATTAACAATTCAAAGTAAATAAAAGCTGAAATTAAAGAGTAAGAGATAGAGGAAAGAGATTACTTAAAATGCTTCAAGGTTGAGAAATTGTTGAATTCAAGAGAACAATCTTCAATTAATCTACTACAACAATTGAGTTTGAGAAGATCTAAGCTAATTAATGAGGGTTTAGAGAAACTAAGGGCCTAAGAAAACTAAAGGAAAAGAAGATCCCAAAAACTGAAGTCAAGCGTCCTCTTTATACGCCCAAAAATTACACTGTAAAATCCGTCAAAAATCGGGCTTCTGAACAGGACGAGCGCCCGCTCCATCTAATAGGAGCGCCCGCTCCTGG